GAAATTTGTTTGATGAGCCAAGGGAAAACTTCGCTAATGCCTCTTGTTTTCCGTACCCCAACTATCCCAGCTTAACTTTGAGTGCTATAAACTGAAATCCCACTTGTGTCCAACAAAAACAAACGTTTGCGACCATCGGCGGCTGTCGCGCATCTCTGATGGCCTCCGTGCAGCGCTCCACGTGAAGGTCTTCGGCCGTGCCTCCTGCCAACCCAAGTCTTGAAATCAGGGCTGTACTCATCATAAGTTGGATCAGAACATCAGCGGTCAAAGCCGTGGAGATATGTCAGAATGTCCAAAGTGGATCTGAGTCGATTCCTTTGGGAATTGCCACGATGGAGATCTCGGGCACCAAAGCGTGTAGAGCTCCGAACAAATTGCCCACAACTGCCTTGGACTTGCAGGGTAACCGCGACAGCTTCTGCCAGCTGCAAGGCCCTGAAAAGAAGTAATACATGCACGCTCTACACGCTCCGCATACGACGACCCGGAGAGGCTCTCAAAGCCAAGTGCCGCTGGAATGCAAGCAAAACTGCATTCCTTGATCGGCAGTGATGCAGTTTCTGGGCGGCACTGGCGAAGTTCTTCAGGTTTCGCACGTTGACTAGTACAGCCAGGGGCACACGATGTCCGGGAAACTGATGTACAGACTCAGCTCGAGGACTTTGGATTCCATGGACGCTCGCCTCATGCTATCGCGGAGAGAGAGAGAGAGAGAGAGAGAGAGAGAGAGAGAGAATGAGAGAGCGAATCGAGAAAGAGCGAGAGAGAGCGAGGGAGGGAGAGGGAGAGGGAGACAGAGACGGAAAGGGAGAGGGAGAGAGGGAGGAGAGAGGGAAAGGCCCTGCTGTGCTTTGTCACGCGCATGCTCCCTTCGTCGGGCATGCGTGGCGCATGTGCCATTGCGAAATCTGCAAAGGAGGCCTGCCCAGACTCCCAACATTCCCACCCCAACTCCAGCTTTGAATACTTGCAGCTTTTTTTCGAGCCTTTCAGGGCAACACAGTCGGCAACCTCAACAGGTCTGATTTGGTTGCCTGACATCCGCGCGTGACACGACTGGAGAACCTGCAAAAAGACTGCTGCCATGGAAAAAACGTTCAAAAAACCTCGGTAATGAGCCCATGCGTAAGGCAAATTATGTAGGCTTCGCTAGACATATCTACGCACATCCTTACCGCAACTCGGGGATCACCCATGCTGTAACTTTTTGGGGTGGACCTGGCTTGCAAGAATTAGGTGCATGATACCTCCTGGAGCTGCTTGAGCTTCAGCAGCTATCCCTGGGACTCAAAGTACCGATGTCGAAACTTGCGTCTATCGGGCTGAAGTGGCTGAAGGGAGGATTTTGAGTGAACAAGTCTTGAACATTGTGGGGAGGGACACTTAAAGAAATGGAGATTGGTTCTTCTTGGATTGTGGCGTGTTTTTGTTGGAATCGACTGCAGCTGCAGAAACCAAGAACCAAGATGCCTGTATTTCGGCTCCACTTCAATCCGCTTATGAAATTTGCGTAAGCGTGCCCGGGCCCCCGAATACAACAACCGACATCCGAGAAGCTCCAAAACTCTTGCTTCTTGCACGCCACTCGCATTCAAAATTGCATGTTAGATTTCAGTTCAAAAGCACCCAGGTGTACATGAAGCGAGTCCATACACACACACACACACATGCGCACCCACATGCGCAGGCAAGCGCAATTGTACGTACAAGCATGTTCGCATGTGCGATGCCTGCATCTTTGCAACATGGTACAGTACATCTTCACATGCCAGGTATGGTCAGGTCACACCATTGCAGGTCTTCATGAGAACATACAGATGTACGGACGTACGTTACAACCCAGCGCGCGCATGGACAGATCGATTGCCTTCTTGCATATACTGCTTCCGGCCGAGTGAATACTGTACGAGAAAACTTGGGAAAAGAACAGAGGAGATTCGAGCTTACATGCACGCATTCCATCACAAGGGCGCTAAATCAAAGTCATGTTGTGCAGTCAAGCAACATGACCTCCTGGCAATCTTCGTTGTTCAGAGCAATTGGAAGTTGCTCCTCAATCTTATGCCTCGGATGAATGTATTCAAGGTGTCAATGAACGAGCAATATGGGACAATGACCACCGTGCACAACAAAGTATCGGAAACTGGTCAACCACTGCTTCCAACCACTGTCGACCTGGTATTGCGAGCCACTGGTTTGCAGCGACATTTGCCATGAAATCCCGCCGAGTCGAACGCAACAGTTCCTGCGTGGGATTGCGTGCGGCCTGCTGATGGATACTGCCATGTCCCTCTTCATGAGGCAAAACAGATGCAACAAAGAGCGAGCAACGAAGCGGCAACCGACAGCTCCTGGCAAAACTGAGCATGTGCAATTTGGGCGTCCTCTTCACTTCGCTCCATCTCCTCCAACTTCCCTTGCCTGGCACTGCCACATCGGCATTTGCATGCTCTTCACATTGGTTTTCTTCGTGGAGACCAGGTGCAGAGAAGGCACAGCAAAATAAGATGCTGCTCCACCTCTTCCGCTGATTTACTTTTGAGATGCACGGTGAGATGCTCCTGTTTGCGCCACGTCTGCTGTCAAACATCTTCCGTTGACGAGGCTTTATCGAAGGCTCAATGCTCTCAACGTTTCTTCGCCGGCTTCCTCCACCAACCGCTCGTGCTGCATCTGCGTCTCATCTGCATCTTCCAGCTGCCCCGGCCCCAGCTGTGTGTCCTGCTGAGACTGCAGGCAGGAGCTCGCTGTGCTTCAACTCCCAACAGCTGCTACTGGGACTGTTGCTCTGCGCTCACACACGACTGCGCTGATCGGCCTGGGAGAGTTGCAGAGCACTGGAACTGGAGCCGTGCCCATTCTGTGGAAAGTAGCCTCCAGCTGTGCAACTGCGTTAATTCGATGCAGCAATGAGACCAAGTAGCCGTCAATGCGCTCCTTCATCTTCTGCCGCACAGATGCAGATGCATAGGCATATCCTGAGCGATCGTAGAATGATGCACGGCCAGGGCTTGTGCTGCTTGTACCAGGCCAAATTATCCGAGCGGCCGAAAAGCTTTCGCTTGATAGAGCGAAGTTTGCTAGCCACCTTCTTCATGGCAGACTTCAGATGCTGCCAGAGTTTCTGCACCTCACGTCGCACTGAACCACTGACAAGATCACGCTGATCGCCACAGATCCAGAAAGACTACCTGCACTACCTCCAAAACTCTTTGAAATCCCACCCAGCCGTTGCACACAGCCTTCGCGAATGCGTTGCACACGGCGCAGCGGCCACAAACCGCCATCCTTAGATCAAACCAGGCAACCATTGCTGAAAGTTCCTTGTCATTCATGTTGCTGGCATGGGTTTTAATGAATATTCGACTGACGACGCCTTCGAATCTTTGGGCATCTGACTTTGCCGGACTGGTTTGCCTAAGGCCCGGGACCTTCGCTGCATGCTTCCGAGATTCTGCTGAAGGAAGGCGACCGGAAGACCAAGCCAGCTCGCTCTCTGGGACTGCTCACTGTACTGCCTCGCTGCTGCGGAAAATTGAACCATTGACGCGCAATAATGACATACTGTGTCCGTCGTACACTCTTTGAGAAGTACAATCAACGGCAGTAGCAGCACGAACAACAGCAACAGCACAGCTGGCATGACCGAAATCGCGAAAGTTCAGAGGCATGTACACGAAGCCAAGCCACTCCTGACAGTTCTGCCGGTCCTGAGAGCTGAGGCCCTCCGCGGCCTCCACACCACAGTCCTGGAGAGGCTATGTGGGGCTACGACATGCTATGCTACGTCACCAGAGTATTGACATATGACGGAAGGACTCCTCGTCGGCAAGGGCCGCATCCACCTGGCATGAGAAGATGCGAAGAACCCACGACTGAAATTGGCCCGGCGGTGCCTGCTTCGATGCGTCAGGGCCCCATTCGATCGCGGGGTTGGGGTGGCAAACCTCAGCAAAGCAGTCCCCGTACCCAATCCCCCCTTTGACTTGGTCTGTCTCATCAAACCTGCCGAGATGCCATCGCAACTTCAACCGCTGGCATTGGGTGCGGTGGGAAGATTTCCCATTCCATTCCCACCTGAATGACGGCAACTAGAACAGAGCCACGTCTCTTGGCGGCCAGAACCGGACGATGCTCAGCAAACCACGTGCTTCTCCATGGAAACCATCTCCGGACAGCTCTGGCAAGAACCTGGATCGTCCAAGAAGCATGACACGACGGCTCCCGCCGGTTTGGTGACCGTTCCAAGCAGCCTACAAGTTATCCAGGTGGTTCTCTGGTCCCTGGCTGATTCTTCAACCGCAGCCTTCGCTAAGAAATCAGCAGGAGTTCAGACACCCAGCGACGTCAACAGAAGACGTCGCTTGCTTCCCAAACGCATCAGGATGCAGGTCCAGGCACGACTCTTCGTTACTTCGGAGATGCGGCGCTTGGCGGCCACGCCTCACAGAGGCGCTCTTGCGCAAGGCCCATCAAGAATTGCGCTCGGGCAAGGCCAGCAAGGCAGAATTATCGCGTCCCCCAAGAAGGCCTGCCAGAACATCCGCGAGTAAGACGAGGAGGAGGGCACGCATCGCGGCAAGGCTAAGATTGCATTTCACAGACTCAACGAAGGCTGGCAGAGATGCTGCAGGCAAATCCGCACATCGAAAGGAAGAGACTTGTCGTGACATGCCATTGCTTTCCCAGCTACAGCTAAAGATGCTAAGTAAGTCCTAGGCAACCTCTGCGGCCATTTTCCGCATCTTGCGGCTTAGCAGCTTAGCAGCTAGATCACTGAGAGGTGCCGCTCTTTGTTGGCACCGCCGTGCAATCTTGTGTTGCGGACAAGACATCTACAGTGGAGATGGCGAGGAGGGTGAAGTTGCCGGCATATGATTAATGAGCTGCTGTGCTTTGCATTGGCATCTAACAGCACGGTCATCAGGGTTGGGACCGTTCTTGTGCTTTTGCTTCACTGTAGCGTGTGCGATCTTCAGAAGCCTCGACCATCATCTTCACGTCCATACTGAGTTTCCTGGAGCCAACGACAAGACACAACAACAGCTGTCTAGCATGCTATCACTCTACGTTAATGTAGGGAGTGGCCTGTCGATACAACCTCCGGTAGTCCATCCATTTGTTCATGCATTTGACCCTGATGCTTTTCTGACAAGCTTCGCTGTGCGCACGGTTATTGCCTTCCAACCAAATCAATTGCACATGTGGAAGCTACACTCGACATCACTCGACTCCTGCGGAGCTCTGCACAGAGCCAGTGCCAGACTTTGGCGATAGGCCCTCCTGGGAGCAAGGGGTGCCCTCTTGTGCAAAATCGCAGAAAGGAAACTGTGTTTGAACATGGCCGGGCTCCACACACGGACAAGTGCCCAGGGCCCAAGAACTCGACAGCAAAAGCTCTGGCCAATTCCCCTAAACAACCGGACATCAAGGGGCCTGGCAATAGTAATTGGGGGAGCGGAGCAGGGGGAGCAGGTTTAAAAGGAACGCGCCACACGGGGGATACTGCCAAGCACCAATCTCGGAACAAAGGCCCGACAATCCGGGAAACAGATGCACCAGTCGGTAAATTTATTGCAGGAACAGGCTCGACAGGGCGTCTGTGACAAGGCTCAGCTTGTTAACGTAAGAGCGGCCGGCGAGGCGGTAACATGACCCGTGTCGCATACCTGCAGTTCCGTGGGATCTGATTGCAGACGGATCCGTCCGAAAAGCTGGCGCTGTTCGGTTCAACATGGCGCCGGCTCGCCCGGTGACTTTGTCAGGTGGACATTCAGGCAGAATGTGAAGGAATTGTCGCTGACGTCGGTTGGCAATGGAATCCCAGCAGCAGCACTCTTTTGTTGAGAATGTGTGGAAGCCAAGCAAGCCATCTTGCGGTATACAGGGATGGAGCTGGTGCATAACTTTGTCTGCACAGGAAGCGGTCGAAGCTCTGAAGATGTGGATCCTTCCACGAAATCCAATGCACCGACCCGGATTCGCAGGATTTCGCAGGACGTGGTACAGCTGTGCGACTGCCTCCACTTACTGTCTCTTTTCGGTAATCTCACAAAGGCTGTTCCGCAAACATATCTTAATGAAATGCCAGAGATGCACCAAAAAAAAGTTTTCAGCGCCGCGATGCACAAGTGCCCTGGAACAGCGCTGACAAGCTACCCAGTCCCAAACACTGCAAAGCCTGGGAAGGAAGCAGGAGATGCTGCGGGGAGAGGAGGTCGCTGCCATCCGAGTCTTCCAGCCTGACCGGATGTGAAGTCACGGGGTGCGGTTGGTTCTTCCCGGGTCTACCTTTTGAAGACAAACCCAAGTTTATGGACTGCAGAACGCGTGGAACAACAGCAGGCAAAAAGCTCTGCAAAATCGCGGCAGTTGCGTAAGTGTCTAAAACTCTATGGTCAAGCTGAGGAGCAAAGCCCGGAGTCTGCGGATTTCTGCTTCTGACTCCGCCTTCCTTAGAAATCATCACTTGGTAAGCGATGGGCCGACCTCCACCACCACCGCCACCACTACCAACACCTCTACCAAGACCGCTACTGTACCACTGCTGCCGCCGCAGGGCGATTTCTGCTGCTAGCCCTATGAGTATCTTGCGACACACCTACCCCATTGCCCTCCATCCCTCCCACACCCTGAAGTTCATTGGTGTCACACAATTCTCATGAGAGGCATGTCTGCAAATGGACCGCATCAAGCATACGCCTCATCAACAATGACATTGGACGGGGAGCTAACCGGCTAACATCTCAGGCTTACTTACTTACACCCGTGATATGCGTATTTTTGGTCATTTTCCCCCGCTTCTATTGCTATGTTCGCCTGGTTCTATATACTGATGCTGTCGACCTTTTCATCGGAGCAGCAGTGGCGCATCCTACTTTGGGCTTTGCAAGTCGCTCCAAGCTGCTTATTGCCGTGACCTGATGCGGTACTGCGGTACGTTCCCATTCCTCTTCCCAGCTCTCCCAACTCAGGCTGACACAGGAGCGCATGGTCGTCGCTCGCGGCAGTCAGGGCTTGTGCGGTGTCGATCTGGCACCTGAGATGGTGCGGGACATGCCTTAAGAACCAAGCAGCACAATCAGGTTCATCATCGCACTGCTAACCATTGATTGCGGCCTGATAGCCGTACAGACCAGATGAGAACTGCTATGAACGACGGCTGCAGGGGTAGGCAGTGACAGTAAGCATGGTCTTACACAGAAACCCCGTCCTCGCATGGCAAGCTTTAGACCGATAAATGAGAACATCACATCGAAGTCATGGAAATTCTAGATTGATTCAGTTTCTGTTCAGCGCACGCGGTACCGGCTGGAATCTTCAACAGCAAATTAATACTTAACACGCCTCCGTGCTTTACTGCTCACTCCGGTACCTAATCCACAACTCATCAAGTATCTCTTCGTACCGGCCATGAATATGGTCTAGTACTGTCTGCATTTATTCAGCTGCGATGTGCCGGCAGAGCAGCCTCAGCAGGCTTGACATCGTCCTTCCTCGAAACCTAGGCCTTGCAAGCTCTTCTGTCTTTCCTGACGTGTTGGTGCGTATTAGCGAGGAGTTCTTGATCACGTGTTCGCACAGCAGCTAGTGGCTACGACTACATCTGCTGCGTCGGCAACGTATGCAGTGTCCAGGTGCCGGGAAGATCGCTCTCAGTTGCTCGCTGCGGTGGGTTTCTGAGCATCAGCAGCTCCTTTCTATTGTTGTATCTCCCTGCACAAGCCAGATTTCAGGGCTGGGCTCCAGCAGTTCCCAAAGTAAGCTCCAGTGAGTCAGCTAACCTTCGATGCAAAGCCTAGAACATCCTTTGCTGTGATCTTTCTTGACGCCAAAACAATTGTAAGCTACACAACACATGAAGCCGCGTGGATTCCACCACACGGTCCAGCCCCTCTGCTTGTGGAGTGGTTATGCAGCACAGCAGGCAACTGACATGTCAAGTCAATCCGTCTTGCAAAGTAGGGCACTGGGCCAGCTCATCTTGGACGCTGGTAAGCTTTGCAGAAGTATCCTGCAGCTGCAGTGCCCGTTTCTGCGCAGGTAAACACGTACACACAACATCCGTGAACAATTTTCTCGTCTGCAGGATAAGACAATGCAGCCTCCTGACACTAATCAAGAGTTCCACAACCAAAACCAGGCCAATCCGGCAAACATGAAACGAAGCCCCTCCTCCAAGTGGTACTCGAGCTCCCTCCTCTTGTTTTCCTAGGAGCAGAATCGAGAAAGGCACATGCGAGGTTTGCACAACTACGAATGCGTCTCAGTATGTGTTTCTTACTGACCATCCGCTAAAGAAGCCGACAAAATGCAATTCCATGCCGTTCATTCTGCCATAGGATCACTTGCTGCCAACTTAGCATTGCAGCGATCCAGCTCCTGTCAAGGTAGTCCATGTGAAGAAAGTAATTTCTCCAGTATAATGCCACACGTGCCGGACCCGGAAATCCGAGTATCGAAACGTTTACACATCCACTCTCACAAGCCGGTGCCTCGGACAAGGCCTCCACGGTCTCTTCCGCGTCTTTCTCCATCTCGGTGATCTCTGCAATCTGAGCCTCACCAGGAAACTTGAATGCTCCAGCAAACAAGCACCGCTTCGATAAGAGGTCAGGTCCAATACCACGCTCAACTTCTTTAGGAATTGCTTCCTCCAGCCCATCTCAATGCATACCTCCTCGGTGGACACTTGATGTTGCAGCAGGGTTTGATGAATGCCATGACACTTTACTCGCTGTTCAGGTTGCTAATCGCATGAAATCATGTTTGCAAGCTATCGATTTTGACGTGAGGAATGTAAGGCGAAGCATGGCAATAGCAGCAAAAGCCGAGGACGGAGCAAGAGAGCAAGAAGCTGTAGCACTACTAGTTGCGGTGGCTGGAGCAGCATGTAGAGCAGTAGTAGTAGTAGTAGTAGTAGTAGTAGTAGCAGCAGCAGCAGCAGTAGGAGTAGAAGTAGTAGTAGTAGTAGTAGTAGCAGCAGCAGCAGCAGCAGTAGGAGTAGAAGTAGTAGTAGTAGTAGTAGTAGT